CACATACGGAGTCCTCAGTCCTCCCCGTAAAGAAAATCTACTCAAGAAGTGACTTTATTATCTCTGTCTTTAGTTTATTTTGGTTGAAATCAGAGCTCTGATGAGGAAAAATGAAGCAGGGAGCATATATTTTCCTGCCCACTGCATGTCTGGACAGCATAGCTGGATGTATAGGCTTTGTATGCCTGGAGCTGGTGGGTGAGCTATTCAGGCCAGGACAGAGAGCCTGTCTGTGTCTTAGTCAGTACATCATTCCTGGCTTGCTTTTTCCACAAAGAGCCACCTAAATCTTTAAAGAACAGAGGCAGCTTGTTGGAGTAGAGGAAAGAAAATCTGTAGCTCTACTAGCCCATTTTTTTAGTATCTCTTGAATCTTTCTGAGATTAAGGATGTAGTCCCAGGCACTGTTGTGGGTTTGTTTTTTTTTTTTTTTTTCTGCTTTGAAACCAAACAAAAGGGCCTAGCTATAGATAAGGGTATGAGAAAGAAAGTTAACCCTTGGATTGCTAGTAGCTTTTATTTCCAGCCTAACTCTGTCTGGGAGTGTGACTGGATGGCACTGGCTCCCCTTCTTCTGAATGAAGAGAAAGGCTTTAATGTCTTCCAGCAGGATCATCAAATGGAGTGAAGCGCTGCCAAGTTCAGTCTGAGCTGCAGGCCCCAGTGATTAAAAACAGGCCTGCGCCTTGAGGAGCTGGCGGATGAGGCTGTGTGTGACTGGCTCCACGTTAGCTTTTCCTTGCAAGGCAGGGCAGTCCCTGTCCAGCCCAGTGATGCTGTCACATCCTGGTAGTTTCAGGGATGTTTTACTACATCAGTTTTACAAGCCCTTCTGAGACCTAGCTGAAGTGAGATGAGCTTTACAGAGCTAGCAGGACATCACCTCCTCAGTCTGCCCTGTTTAGTCCTGAGAGACTGAAATAAGTGCATCTGCTATGTCTCTTGCCAGTGTAGCTGTGAGAGCCCTAGTCGTAATTTTCCTGAGAGTAGACTTCATCAAGGCCCACCAGCAGATGCCCAGATGAAAGATTTCCGCAAGCCTAGAACTGCCAGCAGCTCCAACTTGCCTTTGACAGTCCCTTTCCAGTCCCACTCCAATGATAGCTCTTAGCTTGCTCTTCTCTGAACCATAACACTAATTTCCTTTTCTGCAGCCACTGCACCGATGAACGATTTCTCCAAGGCCAACCTTCCAGCCCCACTCTAACTGCAGCTTTATGCTTTCTCTCTCTAAACCCCAACCCTAATGCTCTTGCTGCCAAAAGACTTGGCCTCGGAGCAATCTTCCTTCTGAGCAGCATCTGGGGGGGTCCTTGTCTATGGCTCAGCAAAAAAAAAAAAAAAATTATGGCTAAGATAGAAAGAAAAAGCATAGGACTGCAGTGTAATTGAGGCTGCAATGGGAAGGTTGCAGCTACCAGCAGACTTGGCTTGGGTGAAAGATTTTGTCTGTGCAATTCTTGGTGACCTCTTCTAGGATCTTCCTGGAAAATTAGGGTTCAGGGTTGAGGGAA